GTCATTAAGTATCACTTTGAAATATAATTTTGGATAGGTCAAACAACTTTGATGGATTTATTCCAATATCTTTTACATAAGTTAATATCATCGAGCAATGCTCTAACAAAAATCTTAAGAAGGCATGCCCATGAGGTAGCCTCGATGGGAAGTTGGTAAAAGGCAAGGTCATTACTAGAAAAACTCCATGAGGGCAAGAGGCAAATAAGGTCTCCACTCACAACCTTAGGAATACATGCCTATGATGTAGCCTCTATAGGAAACTGATGGTAGATATGATTCTTATTAGAAAGACTCCATGAAAGCAAGTAGTTGAATAGGTCACCACTCATCTAATAATCTCAAATGGTATATGTATACTCAAAACCTCAGAAGGCATAAATCTTATAAGGCATTGGATTATCCAAAAATTGCAGAAGGTATAGGTACACTAAAAATCTTAGAAGGCTAAAAACCTCAAAAGGTACATGGACATAAAATCTTAAAAGGTTAACATCCTCAGAAGGCACATGTTCCACTTATACAAAAACCACATAAGGTAAAACTTCAAAAGGTTCAGGATTATCCAAAAACTTTAAAGGTAGATACCTCAAAAGGAATATATGTACATAAAATCTTAGAAGGTAAAAGCCTAAAGATATATGTACATTTAAAACCTCAGAAGGCATAAGCCTCATGAGGTATATGATTATCTAAAAAACTTCAAAAAGCTTGAAAGGGGATATTATCTATACATATAGTGGAATATCTCTCTTAAGGGAAGAAGTGGAGGGAAGAGAAGGGGGGAAAAACAACTTATTCTATAAATATATGACCATTAGAGCTTGAAGGGGGATACCGCCTATATAAAACTATTTAATACCACTCTTGAGAGAGAAGTGAAGAAGAGAAGGGAGGCGAGAGCAACTCATTCTCTAAAGAGAGGGGTATTATAGCTTGAAAGGAGATATTGCTTATACATGATAATGGAATTCCTCTCTTAAGAGAAGAAGTAAATAAGAGAAGAGGGCAAGAGCAAATTGTTCTCTAAAGAGAGGGGAACTTGAGCTTGAAAAGGGATACCACCAACTACTAGTCCTCTAAGTGCTTGTAGGTGTGACTGTGCAACTCAAAAGCGGTATGTTCTTTGCCCAACATATCCTTCTGAAATATATTTAGATTAGCATATATAATTAAAACTTATTAAAATTTATTAAAAAAATTTCCAATCATCGCTTTGCTCAGTGTGTGGAACTGAGCCCCTAGTATGGAAGGAGCTACCTAGGTCCTTGATGTTAGAAGCTCAATTTTATTTATTCTGCTCCCTCCTCTTTATATAATCTAGGTTACCCCAATCACTATTGAGGTCAGCTCATGCACTCGCTCCAATTGAAAGTAATCGCTCATATGTCCTGCAAATATATGTGAATATATCTCATATGTAAGTTGCTTCGTGTTTCTCAAAATTTATTCTGATATGTGTACCATGTTACAATAACCAATAGAAATCTCATGATATATGACAAATTAGAATAAAAATTATTGTTATCTTAATAAAAGATGGACAAATATTATCAATACTGCAACTCACTAACCTCAAACTTTTTAAACCACATTTCACGCACTTCCTTCAAAATTTTCTTTCAAGAAATATATGGAGCATCAAACCTGCTCTGTATGATGTCTCGTATCTTATGCGTGGGTTGTTTTGACGAATAAAATTTGCACAAAATATTTAGTTGAAAATATTACTTCTAAAATATCATAGTAATATAAAACCTGCATTATGTATGTGTCACCCACTGACTGAATCAACATGCAACCATCTGTAGTTGGTGCGGCTACAATCTAGGTGGAAGATCCAGCTTTAGTCTGGGTAGAAGGTCCAGCTGTAGACTAAGTGGAAGGTCCAGCTATAGAGGACTGAGGGGATGGTGGGTAGTAAAATGAAGGAATATATGTTGAATATGTATAAGTAGAAGGGACTCCTTGAGAAGATCGTGGGTGGTAGTGCGGGTAAAAGGGAGCTATCTGCATAGGGTCTAGTGATAGAAAGCAGAGGTATAAGGAGTAATATCTCATTATACTCACAATCATCACCTATGTAGTTGTTCCCATTTACACATGCACTATAGTTTTCTATTTTTCAATCTTCACACCAAGTTTTTCTTAAAATCTGTAACCATTGACAATAAAAATTGGCCAACATTTTACTACTCCTATAGGTCTTCTTCAACTATGTTAGAACTCATAGACGGTTCTCATTAAGAGTTGAAATGAGGCTCATACTCATGATGTGAAGTCCAATACAAATATTTTGGCATGAATCCACTACGATATAGATTAATAGTCATCTCATATGGTGTGAGGTAGTCTTGATTTTTATGTTTAGAATATGGACAATAAAACCTTCCCGCTGATATAAATGAAGATAATTAATAGCCTACTTGAATAAAAAAATTCACTATGTTCAAGAATTCATTTGTTAACGTCTTGCGTCCAGGTAACAATCGATTATAAATTAAACATCTATATTTTTTTAATATCCATAATACACTTGGGCTATAAATTCTTACAACCAAATAATGAGATTTATAACAATTTAATATTATTTATATATAATTATTTTGTTGGTCACATCATTAGATGGATGCTTAGAATAAAATTTTAAGATTGCATATGAAACTTGTGATCACAAACAAGGTTATCAAGGCAAATTTCTTAATTTTCATCATAAAAAAATTTTTGAGATGACATCTTATCTAATCAAGATATACATTAATGATATAACACATCAAGTTAAATCTCACAGTTAGTTAAATCCTCTAATTGGCCATAAGATTTGGGGGGTGAGAAAGGAATATGTGATGCTACACCACTTCCTACCATCATTATAATCTCATCTATTTTGGCTAATTAAGGCAAATAATTTTAAAAATCTGAACAATATGTTCATGATAAAATTGTGCTCTATATATTCGTATAGGGTTTGAATAATATTAGATAATAATTAGAGATAATCACTAGTTTGATCAGAATTATATAACTATTCTCAAAACTATTATATTAGTTTATCCATCTTGACCAAATTGTGCTCTATATGTTTTGATTCTTACCCTAAACTTTTTAGAATAAGAAGTAAAGTTGATTGATTTTTTATGTATTATATTAGGATGTAGAGAATAAAAATGCAATTAATTCATGTATGTCTCTCTCTCTCTCTCTCTCTATGTTATTCTAGCTTGTAAAATACAAGGTGAAGTGTGAGTTTATATCGTGTTATGCATGCTTTTATCATGTAGTTCTAGACCTCTTATGTCACAACATCTAGAGCATACATACAGATCAATTCCTATATCTCTATTTTACGATCCAATTCCAAAACCTGGCTCTGATACCGCAAAAGTTGGATATTTTAGTAGCTTTGTAGTTCGTCATTTATTTCAATGAATATTGGTAGAAAATTTGAAATAATTTTAAAACTAGATATTGGGGTTTGTCTATCACAGCTCAACAAGATAGGACATATCCTAGTCGGGTTGTGTTGTGACATCTTAGAGTAACCAAAGCATAAATGGCTTGTGTTTTAGTTTTTAGCTTTATTATAATGATTGTTGGCATAGTTTCTTGATAGTGGATGCAAAATCGATGAATGAGATAGTATGATAAATGTGTTTTTATCTTTTTCATGCATGATATGTATTGCTTTGCTTATATATGCTTGCACATATTCTTATGTTCATTCAATATGATGTATTATATTACATGATGTGACCTAATGTGAATCGAATTTATAATATTAATATTCTTGATAAATAAAAGATTTAGTTTTTAAATATTATAAATAACAATAATGAAAAAGTATTATTAATATAAGTATCTCATGAAACTGGTTTCTTTGTTCTAGGAAAAATTCATATGATTTATGTCCAATAATATTGATGGCCTGGAGACAACATATTCCAATGAGAAACTTAGAATGAATTCTTGTGTATTTCTAGGAGAAGCCAATCCTAACCATTATAGATAAAATCAACCAAAAATGGCATAAATCACATTCTTATGTTCTTGATTGACTAGAAAAATGTTTTTATCAACCAACAATATTTCTAAAATTCTAATATTTTATTAGAATCTCAATTCAATTCTTATAATCTATCAAAATTTGAGTGCACTCTAACATTCTGTCATGATGTAATGTAACCTCAATATTCTCCAGAGTTGTTCGATTGTTGAAAACTATGAAATTTTTAATACAATCTAAATATCCAATTATGAATTTTAATTAGCCACTAATATCTGAGTTAGGTTTAGGTACAATCGTGATTTTCTACAAAATTTAAGTGCAATATTAATATTATAATTAAATTTGGTCTAAGGGTTGGCATTGTACATAGTTGAAAAAAATAAAACCTTAATAGAGTACAAGGGTTGCATTCATTTAAATGTTCAATGTTGAATTAGTTGAAAAAAAATTATTATTTTCTTAGTTCTCAACTTCATCATTTCTCTCTTAGTTATCTTACAACCTCTTTACATAAAGCAAAAAATATTAATTATGTTTACTCCTTTAGCTTATTCTCTCTCAATTGTAATGCTAAGATGTATTATAAGAGCAAGTTATTGTTGTTTATAAGTTTATGATAAGTTCACATCTATATTATTATTAATCAACAAATTAATTTTATTTGTGAATAGGTAATTAGATTTTACATTTATGCATATTATTGCTACTCATCTAATTTTACTTGATCAACTTCACTTCAAACCAAATGATAAAAGAAATTATAAAGCTAGCAATATAAGTAGAAATATAATGTTTAAATAGAAATAAATGTAGGAAAATTTTAATGGAATTAATAATTTATAAATAATATAAATATTTTTATTGCATATCTTAAAAAAATAGTAAAAAATGTGAATTTATTTTTTGGATAGTTAATGCGGATTCGCGGAACACGCGGGCATGGGACCTGAGCTTCTTCTACCAACGAAAGCTACATATAAGCACGAGAAGCTCGGCTCCCGGTGGCGCCGAAAGAGAGAGAGAGAAAGAGAGAGACAGGCGGGCGGGGGGAGCCTCTCTCTCAAAACCGAGGGAGAAATATACAGATTACAGAGGCTATTTAGGTATCTTGGTTTTGTTTTGCGAATGATGGAATGCTTGAAAAAGAAGCTCTTTTGAAGCTCCTATTTTCTGTTTTTTTTTGTGATATGAAGATAAATCTTTGAAGTGAGCAGAAATGGAGGATAAGAGGAAAGGAGCATTCAATGTTACGGCGATGTGTGGACTCCAAGGGGAGGTTCTTTCGAGGGATGGAAGCCAGTATAGTTTGTCGGCTGGGGTGCTTCCAGCGCTTGGGGCCAGAGGAGGTAGAAGGCTTAAGCTGCGTTCCTTCATTATATCTCCTTATGATAAAAGATATAGGTACTGGTTCTCTTCTTCCTCTTCTTTTTATGAAGCAATATCGGTGTCTGTTTCTGGTTTTTATATTTTTAATGTGTAAAATTAGTAGAAGCCTATTGGTTTCGTTTCCTAAGTTTCTCTTCTAAAAGTTTTTTTTTTTTTTTTTTTTTTTTTGAAATTTTTTTTTTAAATTTTTTTTTTTTTTTTTTTTTTTGCATTGTGATTTATTCCACTTTTCATTCCTTCCTTTTGGTGTTCCTCTTCTTGTCCTATGGCCTATTTAGTAGCTTGTAAGATTGAAAGCTCCTTTTAAAAAAAGATGAAATACAACAATCATTTGATTGGAGTATTTAGAATTTTTAAACTCCACAAAATCTTTCAAATATAATGATTTTTTTTTCACCACAAAAAATAATGTAAATGAAATCATCAAAATGGGCCTTAATTGAAAATTACTTCTCACCATAGATTGGTTTTTGGTTTCTTCATTATAATCTTATCTTCTAGAATTGCAAAATATAGTTGTTTATGTGTGGTTTTATGGCAGCAGGAGAAAAATAATCTGTAACTGTAATTTTGTTCAAATATAGTAGTGATTAATGATGCATAAGAGCCTTTTGCTAGATTTTAATTGTAATTTTTTGCAGAGCATGGGAAACTTTTCTGATTATCTTGGTGATCTATACTGCTTGGGTTTCTCCATTTGAGTTTGGTTTCATCTCAAAGCCAACAGGACCTTTGTCTATTGTTGATAACTTAGTCAATGGCTTCTTCGCAATCGATATAGTCCTTACTTTCTTCGTAGCCTACCTTGAGAGCACAACCTATCTATTCATTGATGATCATGTGAAGATTGCGCGAAAGTACTTGACCAGCTGGTTTATCTTGGATTTTGTCTCCATCATCCCTTCAGAACTTGTTCGTAGGATGCTGCCGAGAAAGATGCAGTCCTACGGGTTCTTCAACATTCTTCGGCTATGGCGTCTTAGAAGAGTCAGTTCACTTTTTGCTCGGTAAAATTGTCTTCTTTGTGTTCTCTATGTCGTTTACCTTCTGTTTTATCTGGCTACTTTCTATTTTTTATAAGAATATTTTAAGTTTCTTGCTACTTTTAAAAGGCAATGGTTCATCTTGGTAAGAATGGAAAGAAAATTCCATGGGTTTGACTATATTGCTTGGATTGATGTCCTTAAATACTAAAAGGGAGACCACAAAAAATAGAAAGTATCATATTCTTCTATGGAAAATCACATAGAAAAAGCTAAGGAATAAACTCTCACAATTTTCCACATAATTAGAATATTTATAATATTTTTAGGCAGAAACAAGGAAGCATTCACCTAGAAATAAGGAGACTTTAGTAAGGATGAGACTCCATAAATCTTCAATGCCGGCTTGTGCAGGCAAGGTGATGTGGAACATCCTTAGCTAAATAAATCCTTAGGAATAGTTTATCTTTTATTAGCTTAGATGTATGCTTTCTAGAGTCTTCTATTATGCCTATATATACAAGATATTGTAAGGAAGGAGGGGATATTGATGAAATATTATTCTCTTTGAAGCTTTTGAAGCTTAGTGTTCATCTTTATTTGTTGGACTGGGATTTTCTTCTTGCTAGTCTAATTCTTCTAACGATCCACCACATCACACGACCAATGTCTAAGGATCACTAATCCGCATGAATTAAGGCAGAGTCCATCAGGCTGCCAGGACTAGCCAATCTTTGTTGTGTCCACCCGAAAACAACAATCTCACCATCTTGACTAATAATTTGCAAGATCTTTTGAACATTCAAATTAGTTTTGGAATAAAATGTACTCTCTATAGAGTTTCATACATTAAGATGTAATTTGCAGGTTTAGATATATTTTCTATATAATTTAACACTTGCAATGGCAAATAGTTTATAGCACTTGACATTATAATAAAGTTTTTTCTTGTTCTCCCTTGATTTCCAGCTTGGAGAAGGACAGACACTTCAACTACTTTTGGGTCCGATGTATAAAACTCATTTGTGTAAGTTATTACAATGGCATGCATATTATTTTTCTCTGGCCTCTAGTTTATTACTTCACCTATTTCATCACTGGTATTATTGATTCATAGGTTACCCTTTTTGCCGTCCATTGTGCTGGATGCTTCTATTATCTTCTTGCAGCAAGTTATCCCGACCCCGTAATGACATGGATTGGTGCTACGATGCCCAATTTCCATGAAAGAAGCTTGTGGATCCGTTATGTGACATCAATGTATTGGTCAATCACTACTCTTTCAACTGTTGGATATGGGGACTTGCATGCTCAAAACACCAGGGAGATGATCTTCGATATCTTTTACATGCTCTTCAACTTGGGGCTCACAGCATATCTAATTGGAAATATGACTAATTTGGTTGTTCATGGAACCAGCAGAACTAGAAAGTTTGTTAGTTATCTAACCTTAATTATGTTCCTTGTATTTAATACATTGATAATTTTTCTTACGCATGTTTTCTACTACAGAGAGATACAATTCAGGCTGCATCTGGATTTGCACAGAGAAACCAACTCCCACTGCGCCTCCAAGAGCAAATGCTTGCACATCTCTGTTTGAAGTATAGGACAGATTCGGAGGGGCTTCAACAACAAGAGACCCTTGATATACTTCCAAAAGCCATCCGATCGAGCATCTCTCAGTACCTCTTCTTTAGTCTTGTTCAGAGAGTTTATTTGTTTCAAGGGGTTTCTAATGATTTGCTTTTCCAACTGGTAAAGTTTTCATTGTAATTTCAGAAAATTTCTTCTTCTTCTCAAATTTCTGTACCAGACATTCACTTTTTTTATATCTTTTTTTTTGTTTAAGGTATCAGAGATGAAAGCTGAGTATTTTCCTCCCAGGGAGGACGTGATCCTACAGAATGAAGCACCAACTGATTTTTACGTGCTAGTTACTGGCACTGTGGTAAGTCTTCCTGGATAAGAGTTTTAGCTTAAGTAGCATTCAGATTATGGTTATTGTTTGAAACAATTGCTGAAAGTGAAATCACTTTTTTTTTTTATTTCCTTTGAATGCCTAAATATACCAAGATTGGGGCATTGAACTTCTTTGCAGGAGCTAATAGACCACAAGAATGGGATTGAGCAGGTTGTTGGAGAGGCAACGACAGGTGATCTTTTTGGAGAAGTTGGAGTACTTTGTTATAGGCCACAATTGTTCACATTCCGAACCAAAAAGTTGTGCCAGTTGTTGCGGTTAAACCGCACTACATTTCTCAGCATTGTTCAATCAAATGTAGGAGATGGGACTGTAATCATGAACAACCTTCTTCAGGTTCTTTATGAAATGGATTATTGATGTGACCTACTGCCAAAATTTCTGTCACAATTTGTTCTTTTATAGATTTTACTTGTTAAGCATAGAAATGCAGACCATAGAGATAGAAATATTTTGCAAGCATCTATGTTGCCCTGATAGGAAAATTCACCTTGCGTTTCAGTATTTGAAAGAGCAGAAGGACCCAATTATGGAGAGGATTTTGAGGGAGACAGAGGACACCCTTGCTCGGGGTCGAATGGACTTGCCTCTCTCTCTTCGGTTTGCTGTCATCAGAGGAGATGATCTGTTGTTGCATAAACTTCTTAAGCGTGGTTTGGATCCAAATGAATCTGACGGCAATGGGCACACAGCCTTGGTTAGGAATCTTTATATCTTTACTATGATACCAATTTATTGCATAAACCATTAAACATTTTCTTTCATCTTTGATTGGTTATGCAGCATCTGGCGGCATCAAAGGGAAGTGAGAATTGTGTTCTTCTCCTGCTAGATTATGGAGCAGATCCCAATAGTCGAGGTATGCCATTTCCACATGAACTCTTATAACCATTATAATTTTACTTTGACAATTAGTTTATGCCACAACAGAGATATGACTTCTTTTTATGTTAGTTTTGTGTGGTTACATAGAATGTTAGTAGATTAAAAAGCTAATCAAAATTCAAGATTTTTCTACAGTACGATACTAGAATTAAAGGGCGAGAAATTAATAATCTTCCAAGATATATTGTTAAGATACTCAAATTGAACTTCTAAAGTTGACCAAATTTGATGCAAATTAATTTGCATGAAGAAAAGTGCAATATAAGTTTTAAGGAAGCAAGCTTCATAAATGTCATTACCCATTCTCTCTTCCATTGAGATATTACTTTGTCCTATTGGTGCAGCTTTCTAGAAGTACTCTAAGATGTACATGCTTAACTTTCAAATTCTTGATTAAACTCAGGCTGATACACCAAAATGTGCCTAAATTTTTTAGACTTTTACCTTCTTGTATATAAGAGATCTTAAAATTTCTCCCAATTGAGAAACTGATGCCCTCATTAGTGGTCTTATACACAGCTTAGATTCATTCATTAGGTGAATAGAATTTTAGAGATGTTCCTTACAAGTTCAAGAGATTGCTCTCATCGTATAAAACTTAGTCTCAAATGAGTTAAAAAGATAGCTCTCATAATTTAGCACTTAGTTCTCATTTTTAGTAATGTATAGCCTTAAAACTATTTATCACATCCCTATACTCCTATGCATCATGATATGATTAGCTTTGGAAACATCAAAATCACTTTTTGATATAATATTTTAACTTTTATTAGGAACTCTAAAGTTAAGCTTTCTCATCTTGGATTAATCCTAGGATTGGTAACCTCTCTTGGAAGATTCAATAAGTGGATAAAACCATGAGATTTGTTAGGCCTAAGCGAGCATTATTTTGATGGATTAGAGTTTGGGCAATGACAATACAAAAATAAGTTTCCCTAGTGGTGGAATGAGGGGGTAGAAAGACTATTAATAAAATAAAATGAGAGAAATAAAATAACCTAAAGATAAATGAGATTAGTGTCTTCATTATATATATAGCAAAAGTGAAGATAATGGAATGTACTGTGAACATATCAATGAAAGATTGAAAATCTATTTTGATAAATTATGGAGTTATAAGTTAAAATTTTGAGAAAAGGACCAGACTAAAATGGTCTCTTAACTCTTTAAAATGGGATATTTTTTTCCTAACATTCAATGTTGGAGTTAATTAATGGTATTAAATATAAGAGTATTTTGGTCCTTTTTAATTAAATATTTATTAAATATTATTTTTCTAAAAAAATTTATTGAATGTTTCCTTAATAAAAAAAATTAATAATAATTTTAGTTTTAATTTCAAAAAATTTAGTCTTATTTTATAAAATATGATTGATAAAAATAAGTGCGATGAAGTTAATAATAATATCTGTTTGCATTTGATTTTTCTAGATCAATAAATATCATGTTTTATAAAATATGACAAAATTTTCAAATTAAAACTTAAATTATGTTTTTAATTAAAAAATGTTTAATAAGATTTTTTAGAAAAAATTATAATTATTTGAAAATTATATTTAATAAATATTTAATTAAAAATGACTAAAATACTCTTATATTTAATATCATTTACTCTAATATTGAATGTTATGATAAAAAATGTCCAATTTTAAAGAGTTGAGGGGACCAAATTGATCCCTCAAAAGGGTTTGAGATTATTTTGGTCCCTCACAAAGAGTCAACGAAACATTTTAGTCCTTTTTTCTTAAAAAATTATATATATGTATGAAATAAATAAAATCATGAAATGTGCTATAAATTTTAAAAAAAAGGGGTGAGATATAACATTCATAAAGTTAAATATTTTGGTTGAGAACTATTAAGATTTGGATAATTATAACAAATATCGTAATAATTTGATTTAAAAAATAAATTATTAAAACTTCTCAAGATTAAGAGAATGTCAAATGATAAAAAAAAAAGATTTGTATGAACTTCAAGAACTAAGATGTTTGAGATTTTGATAATTATTGTAGAGTGTTTTATAAATCATACAATGAAGTTGTGAAAGATAAGCATAGAAAAAGTTGAATGGTATTTCAGAATCAATTTTGTTTTGCATCAAAATTCTATTATCAGACAATTTTTATGCGAAAGCATTTAATAGGAAAATATTACACACAAAAGAAGGATCTTTGTTGGTTTTCGTTGGTCTTGAAAAAACCTTTGAATAAGTGCTATGAAAACTAATTTGATAAATATAAAGGATAAATGATTTGAGTCAAATGTATATTGAAACTACTAAAAAGGTTGATTGATGTAATAAGTCTAGCATTAGAAGTAGCTATAAGGTGACAAGCTAATTTTCATTCCTAGTAGAATCATATTAAGGATCAACATTAAGTTTACATATTTATTTATATTAGATCTTGTTATGCTAGCGTATTATATTCAAAATTAGATATCTTGGTATATACTATTTGCCAATAATTTTATTTTGACAAGCGATGCCTTCTCTAAAGTAAGAGTTAGACAAAAAGGGATTTTCTTTGAAATATATGGCATTTAGGAATAGTGGAAGAAGGGTTAACTATGTGGTTGGTATTAATGCATTTGTAAAATTTAGGATCATCATCAATATTCTAAATATCGAGTGATGCATAAGAATGATAAGTAATTCACCTTATATTTATTATATAACATTTATGAGGATATAAATGAGGGCATCATACCAGAGTTAAATCTTTTTTATTAAGAATTAAAGTTTCTTGAGAGCAATAATCTTTTCAGGAATGGCAAATGAGCTAATGTTAAATTTAATAAAACTACTATTTTATTGGCTATGTTTTATAGATTTGTGTGTAAGATAATAAATGAATCAATGATAATCAAAGGGGTGTATCACAAAAACTACAAAGAATGCGTGATTAATAATTATAATAGAGGAACTCTGAAATTAGCATCTATTTAAGGTAATATATTGAAAATAAATTTAAGTCACTTGAGCACTCATAATATATGTAAAAAACTCATCAATACAACAACAACAATAACAACATCAACCCGTTGTCCCACTACGTGGGGTCGGCTACATGAATCCTTTTTCTCCATTGTACAACAACATCAAGCTTTTATCCCACTAAGTGGGGTCGGCTACATGAATCATTTTTCTTCATTGTGTCCTATTAAAAGTCAAATTCTCATTTAAATTTAATAAAGAAAGATCATTCCTAATATTTTCTAACCAAGTCTTTTTAGGTTTGCCTCTACCTTTCTTAACATAAGTCAAATATAATACATCTAATCTCCTAACCGGATCATCGGGAGGCCGCCATTTTATGTGGCCAAACTATCTAAGGCTACTCTCGCTAATCTTATCTTCTACTGGAGCTACTCCAACCTTTTCACGTATATGCTCATTTCGTATCCTATCTCTAAGGGTAAAGCCACTCATCCACCTAAACTTTTTTCTCCATTGTGTTTCTAATATTTTCTAACCAAGTCTTTTTAGGTCTACCTCTACCTTTCTTAACATAAGTCAAATCTAATACCTCTACTTTCTTAACCGAGTCATCGGAAGGCTATCATTTTTTTATAAAAAGCGCACCAATAAGATAGCTAAAATTGCTATGAAAAGGTCAGGATGACGGCAAGGAGATGGACCAAAGATAGCTTGTGCAAAATGGGTCTAGTATTTAGCAGTTGGCTGAAAACTTGATAAAGTTGTTGAAGTCTCTGAATACTTCACTATTAGTTTCTATCAATATTTTTCTTAAAATCATGAGATGCTCATCTTCCTTCATATATTTGGGGGAGTGGAATCCAACTAGTCTTCTCATTTTGGTCTTATTAACTAAGGGTGTAGCCAATTCATCGAGGTCCCACTAATGTAGGATTGAGGGAGATTTGATATATACAGTCTTCCCTTTGTATTTGTAAATAGGTTGCTTTCGTGATTTAAACCTTTGACTTCATTTTTTCAAAATCTGGGGAATTTATAATACACTACAGACAACTTAATCATTTTTCCAAAGCTGCCCTCGTATAAACTACTCTGCGAGATCTTCAGAATTTGTTTACATGCTCCACAGAAGTAAAGAATTAAACAGATTGCTGATTTAAATACTATGGGATTAAGATCACATCATTTCATTTTTATGTATAATAAATTAGAACCTCCAGATCTTGTGTTTGGTATGGAAAATGGTAGTTTCCATGTTATATGTTTTTGGATTGTTTCCAGTATTGTTCTTCATATTATTCTACAAGGAAAATCCTGGTCTAATGGCCATCTTTACTAGCCATTTTTGCTTTGAAGCCTATACCTTTTAGTAGTTCTGAGCTTTATTACTAAGATGCCAGCAGCTTGGTAAATTGCTTGGGTGTCCTGTATTTTAGGTACTTCACAACTATTAATCATGTTTGAGAGCAAAATCTGGCTTTATACCATTGAATTTTAATCTTAGCCTGTGGCAAAATTTAAAGATTGTGGGCTCCGAAAATTCGGCCCCGGCCTCCGCTCGCTTTTCTTATTCGACGAGGGAGTTTTAACGAACTAAGTTCCGAGGTAAATTTTGGAAGGCAGATGGGTTTGTAGATAAGACACTATTATTGTTTAGAGGTCAACAAAGATGTCGTATCCAAGGTTTATTTCTTTTCACAGGGCTGTTTGGTAGCGCCCAGAATTTGATTTAAGTAGGATTTTGTAAATCCGCTAAATCTGGATTTCGAAAATTCTGAGGGGCCTAAATCCTGAAAACTGTTTGGTAACATTCAAAATAAATCCTATTAAATTCCGTGTGATTGTTTTGCTATAGAATGAATTTAACAAGTTGACTCTTTCTCTCGAGCCAACTGATTTTGTAAATCGGGCAAAATATAGGATTTCAAAAATCCGAGATTTAGCACGAAAAGGCGGAATTTTTCATCTATGGCGGCTTTCATTTGCCATGTGATTTGGTTTTGCATTTTAGGCCGTTTGGCTGGATTTCGTTCAAAATCCGGCCTAAATCCTGCTACCAAACAGCCCCCTCAGAAGAGAAATCTCAGAACTCTGCTTATGGGTCTTGATAAAGCCAGTTTTTAACAATTTTCCAAAAAAAAAAAACAGCTATATTTTTATAATGCAATCACCTTACAGTATGCAAAAATGCACAGATTCAGTTGGAAATGTTCCTTTATGGGAAGCTGTACTTGGGAAGCATGAATCTGTAATCAAGATGCTAATAGACAATGGTGCAAACCTTTCTTATGGTGACATCGCCCAATATGCATGCACAGCAGCAGAGCAGAACAGCATAGACCTGCTCAAGGACATTATCAGCTATGGGGGTGATGTGAGTCTGCCTAGAAAGGATGGGAACACAGCTCTTCACCTTGCAGTCTGTGAAGGAAACTTTCAGATGGTCAAGTTGCTGCTTGAGCAAGGAGCTGATATTGACAAGCATGACATACATGGTTGGAGCCCATGGGAATTAGCTGAACAGCAAGGCCATCAAGAAATCATTTCGCTCTTCCAGGCAAAGAAAGCTCGAGAGAATGACACCAATCCCGGTGGACGAAAGGAAGATGACAGCTCCGGCGATTGGAATGCTTCAACAGCAAACAGATGTCTTGGAAGATTCCGAAGCGAGCCAGCGATGGTGCGAGAGTTGCAAGAAGGCATGCCTTCCTCATCTGAGGCTTCTTCAAAGAGAAGAAACCAGAATAACAACTCTAGAAGCTTTTGCAACTCTCTATTTGGCATCATGTCAGCTTCTCATGCTGATAAGAGTGGCAATACACTGTTATCATGTAGCTCAACTTATGCAAAAACTGGCTTTGGCTATCACCCTGATGGTCACCATCAACAAGTTCAGCATTACTATCATGGTTATAATCATCATACCCCTCTAAGGGTAACAATCACCTGTCCTGAGAAGCGAGATTCGGCACGTAAGCTCGTGCTTCTTCCACGATCAATCGAGGAGCTTCTCTGGATTGGAGATAAGAAATTTGGTTTTCAAGCCTCCAAAGTAGTTACAAAGGATGGGGTTGAAATTGACGATTTGCAGCTCATTAGAGATGGTGATCATCTTCTTCTGGTCAGTGATTTATGGAGGGGAAGAAATAACAGCATTCAATAATATGAGATACTGCATGGGAAGAAAACTTTGAAGGTGACCAGTCTCCTATCTTGAAAGCTTGATTTGGGAATTCTCTTCTCTTAAGATGTTAGTTTAAATACAGTTGCCAATCCTCCCATAATAGGTTTTCCCTCTTATTGTAGTATTATTTTAAATGCATCATCATTGGGATATGAGCCCAAGATAGTCTGCATTGAAATTTATAGAATCACCTTTAGATGAGATTAAATCATCAAGGAGAAGTCATTTGAATTATTTGTAATTGAGATCTTTAATTATTATTGATAACATATCTATTTATAATGTGAAATTTTGTTTTTTTGGATCTTGTTAACTGAGTCATTTGCTTGAAGTTGTCCTAATTTTGACTTAGACATTAGTATGCTTGTCACAATATACTCAAAAGTTTGCTTTTGAAAGTTTAATGCATTTTAGGGGATGTGCATTTTTTTCAATGTCACTATAATTGAGTATTTTTGCCTCATGACGTGCATGCATGATTAAAAACTATCTAGATTTGGTTGATTGTGTCTTTATTGATGAATACATTATTATTGAAATATGGACACAACTTTTCTTTTTGAGCTTTAGGTTTTGTTTGGGACAGCTTTCTTATTGTTTTATGAAATAATTTTTTAGTACAATTTTTTTTTTTTAATTTGAAATTTTTATACTAAAAAATTACTTCATAAAGCAGTAAGAAAGCTGGCCCAAATGAAACCTTTGTGATATCATTTTGTTCGCTTGCATATCTTACAAAGCATGTCTGTGAGCTTATGTTGTTTGTTGACACATTAGGTTGTGAATATAGTTGTTTGAATTTTTCTTACATTCTTAAAGCATTATTTCTTTGTTCGTGTTTAATCAACATGGTTGTCTAAAGAGAACTCACAGGGATTAGTATTCCTCTTATGAATAGGAGAAATTATTTTGTGCAGAGGCCGGACGCAGAACCGTCGGGAGACCAACCAGAATGTGTCATGTTAGTGGTACCCAGCATTACCGAGCTGGGGTACCGAGCGAAGGGGTGACGTGGCACATTATGGTTGGTCTCCAGACGGCGTTCGGCGTCCGCATAGAATAACTAATATATGAATATAGGCGGCATTGTCTCGGCCATTTTCACAATCAGCTTCACTTTTCAATCTATAGTGTTTGGAGTTCCAAGGACAGTGATGTTCACCTCCATGTCAGAACAAAAATATATAATAATAAAGATGGCTCGAATCATTACACGCGTAAAATTTGCTCAAATTCATGCTGAAATCTCGCATATTCGGTGCTCCATACCTTGCAGTTCAACAGTTCGGCTAGGGGTGTCAAAATCTGACTCAACTTGAAAAGTATTCTAGGTTTAGGTCAACCCGTTTGCATTACGGGTTGGGTTCGGTTTCAATTTTTCAACCTGTTTGTAAAATCATATCGGATTCGAGTTGACCCAAAAACTCGAAATCAACCTGTTTTGACTTGGGAAATTGACCTGTCGCGTCATGCCAGCATGTCACGTCATGTCATATTAGCCTATCGCGTCGTATCATGCCAGCGTTGTTGAGTCCATCAGGCCGTCGCGACACCATTTTCTTAATGCGGCGGGGTAAAAATTTAAGTACCCATGTGTTTCTTGGGGCTTGCAGGAAAAAATTATGTTTTCAAATAGGTACCCCTGAAGACCTATGCACACCTTTCTTGGCATGGTAGAATTGAAGACTACGACCGCGGTGTCATCCGATACCGATCATGCACGTCTTTCTTGACGAAGTTGGCAGGCTAAGACTCTTAAATTTCTTCTAATTGGAGGAGATGTCGGGAGGCTGCTGAAACTTGCACTAACATGGGACTTGATTTGAACTCAAATGAACAACATGAAACATGATTTGAACATAAGCACATGGGATATGAACAATTTGAACAAGGGATTTGAACTTGAATACATATAGGGAATAAAACCCTAACTTCTAAAATTCACAATCATAATTAAAATGCAAATGATAAACAATAATTCTGACTATGTAGTTGAACTTCAATGAATAATCCAAGAAAAAAATAAAAAACAGACGATCTATGCATATGAATGATGAGCAATGGCGTTTAATTAATCTGCAACATTGAAATGATCACATGTGAGTTTCAACAAGCACTATAAGCAAGCACATTGCATCCCGCAAATAACAATGCACGACATACAAGGGATGCAATCTATCCACAAATTGAGTGAGAGCGTCATGGAGAAGATGACCCCTTTGGCATCAATGCTAGTAGCTTGTAAGCAAATATGCCAACTCGCCTGTAGACAACAGTGAAAGCTACCATCTTACAAATATATGCCAAAAGATTGTGGCAAATATAGTTCGCTCACAAGCAATATTCAACCAGTTACAATGAGGCATATACTTCTTATATATAACAAAATGAGATTCCTCATGCATACAATCCCTAGTAGTTAAGATCAACATAGACACATGCAAATGAATGCATCATCTATAAACAATTAGTATATCTGCAACTTATACAAACACCTACAATTAACAATCGTTGTACGATAAGTAGGGGGAGTCAACATAGAACGAATACAACATCATTCATGTAGTTGAAGTCAACCCATATCTGAATGGATACTACGATTCCCTATGAATGATGACAATTGACATATATGGAGAAATTAGTAGATACAATAGTTCACCAATTAATGCTCCTAGAGAGATGGATGATGATGAATACAGCTCAATCAGCAGTCAATAACAACATGCAAATGAACACATCATTTGTAAATAATCAACATATGTGCAGTATGCACAAGCACCTGCAATTAACAATCGATATATGATAAATGTTATCATTCGTCCACTAAGAGAGAAGGCGTATACAAAAGAATGCAACAAACATTTCAATATATAACACATTAGCAAAAACAATGTGAATAATGCAAAGACAATGTGAATATTTCAAAAGAAAGGCAAATACAAGCACCTACGCGCTACTGTAGGAGACTCGATTTACGCACTACATGTCATCTTCAAGTAAATGCATAAGGCCTCTAACAGATGTCAGCATCTGCAGCAGCTGCAGGAGACTTGTTAATGCACGATAGTCTACCTTCATAAAGCGACAAGTGACTCGTAGTGCAACGCAATGCCACCATATTCACAACATGCATACAAGCGAATAGAAGGTGTCTACCAATTCTAATACATAACATGTCTACAAAGACAATGTGGAGAAGATAAAATTTAATTTGTTATGCTATGCCACCGGATCCGCAACATGCATACAAGAGGACAGAAGTTGTCTACCAATTCCAATACATAACATATCAGCAAAGACAACATGAAGAAGAAAAATTCAATTCACAATGCTACACCACCGGATCCGCAACATGCATACAAGCGGACATAAGATGTTTATAAATTCCCAAGTGTAGTCATGTGCATTTCTCAACAATAGCCCATCTGCATGAAGCAACAAATAATTTATAATGTAGCTCCATGCCACCGAATCCATAATATACATACAAGCATACATAAGGCGTGTGCAAATTCCCAAATGAAGCCGTACGCATTTCTCAACAACAGCTTAGCTTCATAAAGTAGCAAGCAACTCACACTTACCGCGACACTAGATCTGTAACACTCGTATTAGCAGACAGAAGATGACTACTGTATATACTCAAATGACAGTTGCCCACACAACTCATTAGTGCCAAATATTTAAAAATGCCCTTGTACTTGCATTGCAACAGGTATGTCATATATGCACTTTGCACTATGTGCAAGTATCTACTGCATGAATGTATTATATGAAACACACACAAAAATATACACCGGCATGGGCCCCGGCGAGCATGTTGGTATACACGTGACGTATGAGGATGTTGCCCATGTCAAAAAATAAATTTAAGTTAAAGTACAATCTTTCTCCTTGATAGGACAACAGTTGACACAACTTAAACCAATAAACAAGTATACGGCTGTAGAACCGACTGAGATTTTTTTTTAATATGTTCACATTGGGCCTTTAAGGCCTATAACCAGAAAAATTCACTAACAAAGGTACATAGCCTACAACGAACCTGATCTTCTATCGGCAAGTAGATAATGTCGACAAGGTTCGACCAACAAAACAAAGATGCCCATAATAACCTCAATGATGACCATGTTGATATAAAATCTCAACCAGAAGGGTCCCCAAACATTTAAAAATACCTCCCAAATGCCACCCAAATACCCATGATAATTTAAAATATTTAAAAATGAAATTAACCATCAAAATTCTTAAAGCAAAATTCATCCACCATCCATAACAATTTGTCAAAGTGGACAAATTTAAAATTTACTTTAACTTACAAAGAGTTAATGTTTAGTCGAGAATATTATTATAACTCATTCTCATTCCCTCTATTGTCAATAAAAATGTTGCATTAGTAGTCTAATCGGTGGTCTGGCCAGATAGCTCCACAAATAACTCATGTTTTGGCTATATGGCTTCATGTGGTTAACAATTTTGACTATGACCCTTTGATCTTGTGGCTTGGTCTAATGACTCCACTATATTACATCTAGTCATAGCCTGTATGTTCCCCAATAGCTTCAAATCCTTAAGATATAAATCAATAGGATATAATCGATAGGGCACAAAGCCCTCTATTAGCTAAGGTGGATTCAAATTTGTCCTCTTAGATAAATATTCACCTCAGGTCTACAAGGTACACTTGGATGAAGCAACACTATGGTTGCCGACAAGGATCCTTTTATCAAGTTGGGTCAACCACCTCCTCTAACTAAGTAGATCAGTGACTATGATGACCCAAGACTATGAAACCATGGGATCTTGATCTAGTCTATCATAACTTCCACCACCATACTCTTTAAGTGCAAGATGATGAAATTTCCAATTTTAAATACTAAGTCTCAAAAAATTAAACCCATATTACAACTATACACCAAATATCAGTATATGTATGTATCTGTTTGACGACTAGCCTTAATTGAAAGTTCTCTCTCGTTATAAGAATGGGTAATTAACTATAGGTGCTTGTGCCTATAAGAAACCGGAACTTAGATCATAAAGTCCTAGCAAAATGAGAGCGAAATATCTCGGTAGTGACTATCTACAAACCCAATTTGTCTTCTAAAAATTTTCCTCAGAACTTAAGCATTAAAACTTTCCTTGATGACTCGAAGAAAATAAAGGGTCTGCGGAGAGGCCGAGCATGAATTTTCAAAGCCTACAAGTGAGAAGTATCTACTAGTGTTCATTGCAAAGCTAGAAAATTTGTTGGGTGCTAGAAAATTTGGGTTGATAGGGATAGTATTTCATGTCTTAGTAATGCACAAAAATCCAGCATTGACAAAAAATTAATAAGACTAGAAGATTTTTTACATGGAAAACCTGGAAAGGGAAAAACTGTGGGGCCTGGCCTAGCTGCATAATTCACTATGTAATAAATGATACAAAATTTCTCCTTTCTTCAATGTTGAAGAAGAGAAAAATACAAAGATCAACAACAATTGAATATAATCTTGACAATATTTTAGAAATATTGATGATTTTTTATGTTGATCATCGATGATGATGGAGGTTGCTGATGGCTATAACTGGTGGTGGTTAGCAACGACTATGATGGGTAAATGAAGGAGAGATCTCTAATTCTTCTTCTATTTTCCTCTCTCTTGCTTCTTACCCCTACAGTGAAGAATGAGAGGTCTAATTATATTTTTTTGGAATAGCATAACTAGTAAATAGGGAGAAGATCAATTGTATGTTGGGAGTATTTAAATGACGGTTGATATGAACTCCTGGATCATGGACCATTTAACAAGCATCTGAGTGTCTTATTGATGTCAAAATTTGGTGATATTGGGCTCATTGGATTAGTCTTGTCGAATCACTCGGTTCGACTATAAGCACGTCACATTTGAATATCATTTGGTCATCCAATTAATATTCTAAAACTTCAAAATGCGCTTCAGACATTTGATTTTGGCCCATTTAGGTTCGGATTGAAGTGATTTTGATGTCATTGAGTTCGTCCCTTCAAGACATTAATCTGACTATAAGCTTGTTGAAATTAGAATTCAAATGATCCTGATTTTAATTTTTAAAGCCTCCAACTCTTATTTGCATCAAAATTTGTGCTCAATCAAGATAATTTTTTAAACATATGTCAATATACATTATTTCATTTTATTTATTTTAACATAAAATAAATATATATTTAATGCCCCAAATAAATATTTATTTTATTTTATTAAATATAATATAAGACAATGATGTGAGTGACAATGATGACTACTGGTGACAGTTAGTTGATTTTTATTAATAAAAAAAAATACTTAAAAATTCTTTTTAGTATTTATTAGGCAAAATACTTAAAAAATAAAGATGATTTCAAACAACCTACTATTAAAAAAAAACTTGCTCTCCAAAAAAATATTGTCTATTTACCAAAAAAAACGATTAGGCCTTTATGTAAAATTAAAATTAACAATCTGTAGAACAATTTAAATTTGGCAAAATTTCTAAAAATATTCAACCGTATAAAAGATAGTTATTGCACTCTCAACTTTATATTCCTTGCAGCCTTTTCTCATTCTAAATCTCCTCACTTTGATGCAATATTTCAATCTTTCAAAAAAATTTATACAAAAAGAAAGGGATAAAATAAAGAAAGAATTGCACTATGGATGCCCTCGTCTTCGGCTCTCTATTTAGGTACTTCAGAACTTCAGCAAAGCCCATTGAAGGGCTAATGTATGGTCCGTATCTGTAGTCCTGATTTGGCGTCTAAATGAATGCATCATCACTTGTATTACTCACATATTGAGTTGCCCAGCATCGGAAGGGGGTGAACCTACATGCCAGTTGAAATGCACATTAACCAAAAAGGAAAAAGGAAAAGTTAGCTAAGGGGTTATTTTGTCGGCTAAAAAAGTAATGCAATATAAAAGGATTGCAGCGTAAAAGAAATTCAATGTAAAAAGAATACTTTTGAGTTATTTGGATGAGTGTAAAGTAAATTCAATTGAATGCTTTCTTTTTTTTTTAAAGTAAAATGAATGTAATTTAAAGTTTAAAATCGGTGACGATCAATGGTGGTCAATGACTGAGGCGATGGTGTTTGGCAACCTGCAATATTGGTCGTGGCCTGCAGACAACAGTAGTGGCGGTGGCCAGAGGTGGTGGCTAGAGGGAAGTGGATTGGGCCAATGGCGGTCAAGCGAGCCTGCTTGCGGTGTAAACCATTCTTACTCAAAAAAGGGCAAGTTTGCTTTACCTCGAAAATGAATTAGAATGATTCACACTAATATTTACTTTACTTTGCATTCCTTTTTCATCCAACCAAACATCAAAATTTTCAAAACCCCTGTAATTGGAATACTTTGAACACTTATGTAATCCAACCAAACAACCCATAAGAAATATTTAAACTATAAAACTAGATGATTTCGAGCAACAAACTGCATCTCTTACATATGAGCTGCTCAAATGGAATGATTATGAGTGTGTTGTAATTCGTTTATTTGTACTTAAATTTTTTTTGGTGTTTAGTTTAAAGTTAAAGCGAATAAGAATTTTAAAATATATAAAAAAAAACCCTAACTTCCTCATCTTTGGAAATCTACTGATTTTTAAATCTAGTGCCCTTCTACCCTTAGCCCTCTCATTGTCCCTTATCATCTCTGTTATTGGAGACATCCACCAAAACACTTATCATCACCCTAAAAATCCTCTGAGTCTCCATTGCACCAACTTTATCCAATTCCTACCGCAGGGCAAAACACTCTTGCTGTCAACGATCTTCCTCGAGCCTCCACCAATCATTGGTGGCTTCACCCAAACCTATCTCATGGATAAGAGAGAATGATTTTAATTTATTTGAACTGTATTCTACCACACAAAATATTTCAAAATGCATTTGATTAGCAACCAACCAACCAACCAACTCCTGCATTTGTGGATTTCAATTACTCTGCATTTCTAAGATACATGCATTTTAAGAACATCTAACCAACAACCCATAAGTCAATGAACAAGACCGGTATTTGAAATAAAGTCTAACAAACATTAAAAAATATATATTTCAAAATATATTTGACTTGCATCTAGACAAACAACTTCATTTGTAAGGTGTTTGTATTCTACTAACACTACATAACTAAGACACATGTATTTTAGAAATATCCAAACAACCAGCGCCTAAGTGAATTCGAAAGATCCGTAACCTCGAAGATTAAGGCTTCGTTTGGGATAACTTTCTTACCGCTTCTTAAAGCAGCTTATTAGTAAAAAAAAATTAATGAAAGCAAGAGAATTAATATCAGGGGCACATCTTTTTTGTTTTCTCCTTTTCTTTTAGGTGGTGGAACCCAATGTCTTTCCATCACCCAGCTTCAGCCACATACCTCAAATGGATTCAACCAGCAGAATCAACAGATGGTAAGAGAATTCAAAAGGCTTGTCACCAATAATTTCAAATGATACCAAAAATAGCTATGAGAAGGTTTGGCATATAGCTAGTTATTTTCTTCAGAAAAATTCATGTCAGATCAGAACGAGCAAGAGATGGCAAATGTTAACTTTCCAACCATTAGAAAGCTTCTTTGCTCTGCATTTTTCTCATTAACTATGTAATGAACTATGAATGGAGAAACTTGCCTGAAGGAACCTCTCCTCATTGATGCTTTTAGTCCTAAGCTTAAGCTCCCCTCTGCTGGTTGTGAGTTCATCCAAAATTTCAGCACCATGGCCGAATGCCTCACAAGCTTCCTGACTGCTGTCAGTGCACGCTGGGGATCCATCAAGCTTCTACAAACAAAATGTACTCCATTTTAAGAACTCAACATTCATGCAGCATATGAATATTGCTGGGCTACAAAATTGTTTCAGTAAAATATCCAAAATTATCTAAAATTAAAGTAATGAACATAAATTCAGAATATGAGGATGTCAATGTTTAACTTTGAAGATCATATTAATGGAGATAGCTAGGGATATCGTAGCAACACTAAAATAAATAAAATCAGCAAAATTCTGAATCAAGATTGTGCATGATGCAATATTATACCCGAAATGAGAGGTTATGGTCGTGAATAGGAACTCCAGCAATTTCTTCATATTCAGCTGCGTCCAGTTCCCACAGATCCTGCCGGTGAAAGAATTTGGGAAGAAGATGCTCTCTGATGCTAATTAACAGGTAAAATGGCAGTGGAAAGAGAATTCCTGCTATAGGAATCCATGTAACTCCGAAGCATATTAGGAGATAGACCAATTGGAAAATTGTAAAGGTCCCTATAACCCTATAAGGAACTGATTCCACAAATGAAGCATGGATTCCTTCCAGGACCCTGCCAACATAATTTAAAAAAAAAAAATAAGATAAGTATAACGGAGATGGTGCATGTGATGCAGTGAATAACATTGGTTCATAAAAAACAGAGAATAAACTTTGATTAACATACTTATGCTGAGTTGCAAGAATGACAATATGTAGAATTTGGTTTCACATACAACCTTAATTTCAGCATCTTAACGGCATGTTTCAGTATAATTCGCAGCATAATATGTGCTAGTTTCCTAGAAAAGGATTCAATGTATATGGGAGTTGATTAGTTATCCCTGATTTTTGTCAACAGTATATATATATATATATGCATCTATCATAGATCATTCATCCTCAACTCTTATCTGAAGAACATGGTTACAATTACAGACTGAATGATAACGAACCACAGTTCACGCAATCCTTGATCTAAACATTTGGAGAATGCAGTCCAGATCACTATCTGATCCACACTGTACGATTAGTAGAACTAGCTTGCAAACAATACGAAGGAAATAATCACAAAAATGCTCCAATGTATCTAGTAATACAAGAATATGTTTGTTTCCTAGTGGGATGAACTAAGAAAGCTTACTTGTAACGTCTTCCTGGAGTAATGAATAAAAGCAAAATCCTTTCCCAGAACTGGTTTCCAGGAAGGCTATCTATAGCCATGTATGCAAAGTAGCCCCACAGAACTGATGTAGGAATCTTCCTGATAAATGGTATAGCTCCAAGACAGCCTCCAACCATTAGGGATTGGCATAGGTTGGTAATTCTCTGCTCATTCACCCGAACAGGCAGGTGTGCATCAATGTGCTTCTCAGGATCAAATTCACCATTTAAATCTCCACTAGACATGACAGCTTGTTTTAAGTCCTTCAATTCATTCACCACTGTTCGAGCCTGCAGAAAATATGATAAGTTTTGATGGATTGTTCACATACTCAAACAGAAAATTTTAATTAGATTTCAAAAGTAATCCTTCAATTGCAGATAAACTAATATAACTAGAATGTAAATGCAGAAATGGACTTGGTTCGCTACTGGTATCTTCGGCAAATTTGCTACTGAGAATGTAACATGGGTTTTATACTCTAATTCAGAGATAAACAAACTAGTTTCCTTAAATCACCAAGTTACCGAGAATGCTTGTACCTTCCATTTTGATGTTATGAAAAAAAAAAAAGAGGCGCAGAAGTGAACTATACCTCAACAATGATTGGATAGCGAGGTAACATGTGATAGAAATCACTTACACTGTTGCTCTTGTCCATTTCTATGAATACTTCTTGCATTTTTCCATATATTTCAGAATTGCTAGCCTGCAATTGTATGCTTTCCTTTGCACTCTCAACCATCTTCTTGCGAATCAACTAAAAAGCAAAAGTAAATCTCGAAAATAATAATGTATGAAAAACACCTAATTGATCAAACCATAATAGAGCCGCAGGTAAGTTATACAGACCTGCCTCTTGAGAACTGCAAGACTTTTTGTATGCATTGGGGACTGGGGCAAGACCCCATTTGATGGAGGGATTCCTAGAAGCCCGCAAATCAGAACCTAGGATCGTAAATTACAATCATGGAACAATTCAAAAGGTTGATTATGGTAAAAATATCGATATATCTTAAAAGAAAAAATTGGGAAGCTGCACACCAGAACACCAAGGACAAAGATGTCATAATGATACGCAGATGGGTGTTTGAGATTAAATTCCTTTTGTTGAGCCATTTGAGATGCAATGCTGTGGTCAAAAAAGTAAAGGCCTGCAACCATTATAGCAGGCACTATTGCACCAAAGATGTACAACGAGGGAACCAGCATCATATCCTGCATCATTTAAATATCCAAATCACAAAATAGTAAAATAAAAGCCGGAGGATGCCTTCGTAGAACAATCACATATTCACATACAACCAATCTGAGGTTGCGTTTTTTTATTCTTTCTTTTTATCTTTGAATATTTACACGAGCATCAGACTGTCAATAAGTGAAAAAGAGATGGCATGTTTGTCAAACCGACAATGCAACAATGTTAATGTTCACCTCAATACTAGTGTTGGGGTCGGGTCGACCACGCAAGATGAGTTTCGAAAGCAAAAGAGTGCGACGTCATGCTTAACTCACTCAACACGCATCAACCAAAAATCAAAATCATTGAAATGGCCTCCGTTCACGAAACGGACAGTGTCAACGTGTCCGGAGCAATAGAAATAGCTAGGATCGACACCCATATTGATTGGGGTAATCGATCGGCGAAAATTTAAATTTCGCACACGCAGATCGAGGCATCAACGTGAGTGATCAACAACGACAGAAATTTGATTGTTTGAGGCAAAATTATAATTTTTTATATTATATATATTTTAAAAAATAATAATAAGAGAGAGCATGGTTTAAAATTGCACAATAAAAGACGCGCCTTGAGGCACGCCTTACCGCAATGTGGTCCCTTTAAGCCTCAAAGCCTACGCAATAAGTTAAGGTTTTGAGGCTTACGCCTCAAGTTTAATGAGGCGCTCCACTCGCCTCACATTTTTGAGGCAACGCCTCTAATAAAATTAACCTAATTTTTTTTTTTCAGTTCCGACCCCTAATTGCGCCTAGTGAGATGTCGACGTGGCATCAACATTTAAACACTGGTAAAGGTCGAATGTCAGACGCTGTGTTACGGTTTTCAAGTTCCAGCAAACGTTCCAACTTCCAAGCATTCAATCTGGAGCAATTCCAAGCATTCCCTCAATTCCTTCTCAGATGTCGTCACACACCAAGAAAAAGGTAATTTGCTGCCATGATTTCTGTTCAGTTCTGCGTATTTTCTAATTATGCTATGCCTAGGTGTTCAAGGTTTTGAAGTTCTTCGTTTTTTTATGCTTACGCTATGCGTATGCGATGCTTCTCGAAACTTTTTAAATGTTTGTTTGATACTTTGATTCCATCGGGTTTTCTCTGTATTTAGGGTTTATGAATTTATGTTGAAATTTGAAACATAAACCCTAACTAAATTTTAAGCACCGAGTACTCTATGCGTATGTTGTGCGTACTCTACATGTTGTGCGTACTATATGCATATGTTATGCGTATATTGTGCGTGATAATTGCTTATGTTGTGCGTACATACTGTGTGCGTACTTTATGCGTGCGTATAATTTGCTGTCATATTTTCTAAAATGTGCGTTCTTGTGCGTATGTTGTCAGTACTCTATGCGTATGTTGTGCGTATTTTATGCTTATGTTGTGCGTATATTGTGCGTGATAATTGCTTATGTTGTGCGTACATACTGTGTGCGTACTTTATGCGTGCGTATAATTTGCTGTCATATTTTCTAAAATGTGCGTTCTTGTGCGTATGTTGTCAGTACTCTATGCGTATGTTGTGCGTGATCGTTGCTTGTGTTATGCGTATTTTATGCTTATGTTGTGCGT